ATTCCAAAGACCATTATTCCATGTTTTTACTATGTTTTTAAGTCATCACTTGTTTAATATTATCTTGTTCTTCCCAACCTTGAACTAAATTCTTATTGTGTTAGGTTATGATTTGACCATAGCTTAATTACTGTATGTGACTACCTATGTAATTTACTTATTTATGAAACTGTGATTCTTTTACAACCTGTGGCTACTTCATATTCAGTAAATCATCTTGGATAGATGAACCTACTATATACAGTAACTTATTTTTAATAACTAGAATGATAATTTGTATTTGTCTTTGTAAGGATCTGATTAATACAAATGCCATTTTTGTGGGGGAGAGTAAATCTATCTTTGCTTTGATCAAAGTCCATGCTGAGAGTGTTATTACAGCTGCTTTCTGGACACTAGCTTAACCATCCAAGGTCTAGCAGCCTCGACAGCCAGCAAAGAGATTTGTTGGATAAGAAAGAAGAATTTTATTCACTACTCTTTCTATATATACATTTCTTTATATACTATACATAGTCTGCCATGCCATATTCCATTAAATACTGTTTGCTGCATGGAGAGAACACTTGCTTCATTCCTGATCCAGATTACTAGATGTTCATCTGACATTAATTTTGACAATTTGAAATGCTGCCTAACAGCATTTTAGGTGAAAAGTAAACTATTGCAACTATGCTGTTATATTGAACAGGTTTTTACAACCCTCTCACCCTTATTATTTGAATTACAGGCAATCCCTGGAATAAATGACATTCGCTTCACACAAATATGACTTGTGTGAAAACACCATGAATGCGTTAAAAAAAATCTGATTTGTAGACATTATTATGGATATGTATACAAAAGTTTGAAGTAGTTATGGCCACGTAGTACTTCTGCTGTTTAATGCATGAGTCATTTAAAAAAAAAAAACTGTAATGTAGAATTCAGTGTATTCATTATGTTACAAAAAGTGTTAATGTGAGAATTGGATAGGGACGTACAATCATCAAAGTATAAAACAGTGTGACCGTAAAAGAACCGAACTAGACAGAGAGGGTCTACTCTCAGAGATAAAACAGTTACTGTAGGTCTCAGGTGAGACATGTCAAAGGTGACTTGGAGAGACTGTTGAAGTTTTTTCAACTAATACAGAGAACCACAAATACACAGACAGTTGCTGTGTCAGACTGTCAAGAAAGAAAGTTTATGGTTTGACTTCTGGCAAGATGTTTCAAACCCACAGCTTTCCAAACCAAAAACCATTTGAATGTACGGGAAGGATCACTGTTAGTGAGACCTTAGATCAGGGGTGCCCAACCAGTCGATCGCGATCGGAGTGCTTGCCAGTCGATCGCAAGAATGATTGGCAAAAAATAAATGGGCTATTTGACTCCTTTTTTTCAATAGCCTAAAAATTCATTCAGTTCTGTGCATGTAATGTCATACATTTTACTGCCCTTGTGTGTGTTTAACCCTTGTCGAATGGGTTGTAAAAGTCTTGTCCCTGAGTGCTGGCGGACGCTGAAAAAAAGGCTACAGGAGCTCTCTTGGTTATTGCCACACAAACTCCACATTTGCTACAGCACTTAGTGGAGCGAAACAGACTGGCCGTGACAAATTCACCAACGTTTTGATAAGTTTGATTGCCTATTTGACAGTTGTAGTGTTTGAGCGAAAATTACGACGCAAAGAGACCGAAAACTGACCGTTACCACAAGGAATGGGAGCATGATTTTTATTTTGTACTTTTGCATTCAAATCTGCAATGCTAGCGTCTACACGAAAAAAGGGTCATATAGAACAACATTTCAAAACTGCACACAAAACGTACGATGTGGACTTTCCCGCTAAAAGTGAGTTGCGGGAAAGAAAAGTGGAAAAATGAAAATCTCAACTAGCAGCAGTCGGTTTTCACGAGGCCTAATACAAGAGGGAAAGTGGCAATCATCGCATCATTCCGTGTGAGACACGTCCTGGCTAAACACAACAAGTCATTCAGGGATCCCAAAGTAATAAAAAAAGCATTTTCTGAGGCTGTTGACTTGTTGTTTTGAGATTTCAAAAACAAACATTTTTGGCAAGGTTCAGGCGGCTGTTGCCTGAAATCAAAGAGGTTCTCAAGTCGTCTAAACACAGTGAATAAGCCCAATTAGGATTACCAGTGGCTTCTGGATTTAGCATTCCTCACAGACTTGACTGAACTGCTAAATGAGCTGAAAGTCGAGCTGCAGGGGACAAAATAAAAATGTCATCAACACGATCAGCAGTGTCAACACGTTAAAAAAAAGAATTATGTGTTCAAGTTACCTCCTCAGTCCCAATACTCACATTAACGTACAATATTATTTTTTCTAAAATGGGGAACATTACTTGATCACTATAGCATGAGCCACTTGCTTTTTTATTGTTGTCATTTTAGTGATGGGTATCGTTATTGTACTGATTTGCCCACAGTCTGTTTTCCCTATATCAGAGCTTCAAATTCTCCCTGGTAGAGTAGATCGCGCTGGACTGGCAAATGAAAAAGTCGATCTTACATTAAAAAAGGTTGGGCACCTCTGCCTTAAATAGAGTTGGGAAAATGAG